GACAGGGAGGGAGGGAGGGAAGGAAGGAGGATGGGATGCTGATAGTAGTGAATAAAGAGGGAGAGATGGGGAGGAGGGAAGGAGGGAGGAAAAGATGGAAGGAGGAATACATACAAGAGGAAAAGTGGGGATACAATAAGGAAGAGAAGAAGGAACAGAAAAGAGGAGAGAGAGAGAGAGAGAGAGAGAGAGAGAGAGAGAGAGAGAGAGAGAGAGAGAGAGAGAGAGAGAGAGAGAGAGGTAGTGGCGGGAGGGAACAAGAGATACATAAGGAAAGCTGCTACTAAGACAAACCAGGATGTGGTTCATGACAACAACAACAAGACACACTATACTGTATAAAGTCACCCCTGAGGCCCTGGGAAACAGAAGGGCATTGAATACCACCCAATGACCCATGCACTCACCACCCACGAGACCCATGACCCAACACCATCCACGACCCACACCACGACCCCCACCCACTCTACCTAGAATCCTGGCCAGTCACACACACACACACACACACACACACACACACACACACTCTGGCACACCCTGTCAACACGTAGCAGTGAGTACAACAGATAATGGACCACCTGTCAGGACACACTCACACTAAATGAGTTATTAATCCGTCCCAACTACCGCCATCACCTGTTGTCTTGGTCTATATGAGATCTATATTGTTTATATTATCCACCTTATCATGTTTTCAATGTACTTAAATATATACATACATACATACATACATACGCCAAGAATTCCTCCACTCACACACACACACAGGAGTGGGAAGAGAGGGGGGGGGGAGGAGCGGTTGGCCTGGAGGAGCAGAGGCTAAGTGTGCATCATACAGGAGACTCTGGAGGCTGAGAGATAAGACCTGGCCTGCAGCAGCGGTGGTGGGTGGTGGTGGTGGTGGTGGTGGTGGTGGTGGTGGTGGTGGTGGTGGTGGTGGTGGTGGTGGTGGTGGTGGAGGGTGGTGGGGGGTGTGTTGTTGTTGTTGGTAGTGGTGGTGGTGTGGTGGTGGTGGGTGGTGGTGGTGGTGGTGGTGGTGGAGGTAGGGGGGTGTTGTTGTTGTTGGTGGTGGTAGGTAGTGGCGTGGTGGTAGTGGTGATAATTTATTAGTGGTGCAATGATAATGATGGCGAAGGCGAGATTTTAAGGCGTTGACGGAGGCCTTGTTGCTGGTGTTAGTGTCAAGGTCATCCTCCTACCTACCTACCCCCCTCCCCACCCCTCCCTCCCTCCCTCAGTAGTTCTGGATCCATATCTCGTAACTAAAGAACCTTCGCAGCTCCTGACGGTGTTCTCTATATCCCTACAGCCAGGGGCCCACTCACCACCACCCGAGTGATTTTCCTAACTGCCATAAAAGTCTCTTACAATAAAACTTTCCTCTCGAGACCTTGATGGATTAAAACCTTCCTCTTGAGACCTTGATGGATTAAAACCTTCCTCTTGAGACCTTGATGGATTAAAACCTTCCTCTCGAGACCTTGATGGATTAAAACCTTCCTCTTGAGACCTTGATGGATTAAAACCTTCCTCTCGAGACCTGGATGGATTAAAACACTTCCTCTCGAGACCTTGATGGATTAAAACCTCCCTCTCGAGACCTGGATGGATTAAAACCTTCCTCTCGAGACCTTGATGGATTAAAACCTTCCTCTCGAGACCTTGATGGATTAAAACCTCCCCCTCGAGACCTAGATGTGCCTAAAACCTTCCCCTCGAGACAATAAAAACCTAAAACCACTCTCTCAAGACCACAAAAAACACCAAACCAGCCCTCATAACATTACCTAAACACTATCCCTATAACATTTCCCTCTCCTAACCTAACCTAACCTAACCTAACCCAACCTAACCCAACCTAACCTAACCTAACCTAACCTAACCTAACCTTGGTTTAAATGATCTTAACCCAGCAGTCCACAGAAAGATCTACCCTCTGTTACTGTATACACGATGATATATATATACTCTACAATAATTAAAGTAAATAAATAAACAAATAGGTAAACAAAAATATTAAATAAATAATCAAGATAAGTAAAAAAATAATGCAAAAATAAACAAGTAAACAAATACATAAATAAATAATAAACAAATGAATCAATAAATACAATAAATAAATAAATAAATAAATAAATAAATAAATAAAGATTCAAGGGGAAAGTTTGGTAGAAGAAATATGTAACAACAGTTTGGTTTAATAACGGCATAGAGGGGACTGCATGTGTGTGTGTGTGTGTGTATGTGTGTATGTGTGTGTGTGTGTGTGTGTGTGTGTGTGTGTGTGTCCATCACTATATACACACAAACATCGGTACGGTATGTTTCTGCTGTTCAACACCACAGCTCACATGATCTACGTGTGTAAACATTAATCTGTATGTTCACTGTATGTTCCTTCACCTTTCTCTAATGAAGGGGGATTGATGGTATCTCGCTATGTGATTACCCTAACCTGAAACCTACCTTAACTAAACGTAACGTAACGTAACCTAACCTAACCTAACCCACCACCACCGCCCCACACATAACCCCTGACAACCCTCGCTACCCACCCCACACATAACCCCTGACAACCCCGCTACCCACCTCTGCGTCACCCCATCATCGAGAACGTGAAACCAAACCTCACATCTCGGTCACGTTTCTGTTCTCGGAAGACTCGTCAGCCCTGAGCTATACGAGTAGGCACGTCCCTCAGGCCTCTTCATTAACATAGTAAAAAAAAAATAATAATAATAATAATAATAAATAAATAAATGTAATTACACACACACAATACACACAATAATAATACACAAATAACTTAAATTGTTGAGAATAAATTTTAGTGATACAGCTGTATGTGCAAGAACAAACATTGATGAATAAGAATAAGAATAAATATCTCAGCGTTACGTACAATAAGAGACAAGCGTACACACCAATTTAGCCTCACCAACTAACATTATCCTCATTAGCGACAGTAAGTAAACACGGTATAAATAACATGAATGGTGGCGACATCTGGCGGCGTTATCCTCAAGAAACACAACTGGTCATGATTCCTTATAAATAATCTTCTTCTGCTCCTCCTCCTCCTCATTCTTCTTCTTCTTCTCACGCTTCTTCTCCTCATTCTTTTTCTTCTTCTCATTCTTCTTCTCATTCTTCTTCTCCTCCTCATTCTTTTTCTTCTTCTCATTCTTCTTCTTCTCATTTTTCTTCTCCTCCTCATTCTTTTTCTTCTTCTCATTCTTCTTCTTTTCCTCATTCTTTTTCTTCTTTTCCTACTCAGCATTCTTCTTTTTCTTCTCCACATTCTTATTTTCTTCTCCTCATCATTTCTTCTCCTCATTTCTTCTTCTTTTCTTCTCCTCATTTCTTCTTCTTCTTCTTGCGTCTCTCTCCTTTCAGAAACTTGACTACCGACCGCCTTTACTCTCGCTAAATATAAAGTTAGTCACAGCTGGGTGAGAGAGAGAGAGAGAGAGAGAGAGAGAGAGAGAGAGAGAGAGAGAGAGAGAGAGAGAGAGAGAGACCACACACAAAAAGTAGACCATAAACTTTCCCTCCAGCTTAATGAACCCCGCCAAGCTTAATAATAGTGCAGGCAAGCTTCGTTTACCATCGTGTGTGTGTGTGTGCACTTACAATAATTAACAATAACTTAACACAAATATACAAACGAAGCAGAATAATTGCCAACGCCGTAAAAGAATAGTTACGTTATGCTAATTACTAAGCACTAGATACGTTACGTTATGTTGGGTTGGGTTGGGTTGTGTTATGCTGTTACTTTACATTACGTTGAGTCGGGTCGGGTCGGGTCGGGTAGGGTAGGGTAGGGTAGGGTCGGGCAGGTCGGTCGGGTTGGTTTGGGTCGGGTCGGGTTATGCCGGGTTGGGTCGGGTCGGGTCAGCAGGCCGGTCGGGTTGGTTTGGGTCGGGTCGGGCTATGCCGGGTTGGGTCGGGTCGGGTAGGGTCGGGTAGGGTCGGCCGGTCGGTTGGTTTGGGTTAGGTCGGGTCGGGTCGGGCTATGCCGGGTTGGGTCGGGTAGGGTCGGGTTGGGTCGGGTAGGGTCGGGTCGGGTCGGGTCGGGTCGGGTGGTTTAAGGTCGGGTCGGGTCGGGCTATGCTGGATCGGGTCGGGCTGGAGTAAGTATTCTAAACTATTTACCAAACATAATTCAGCTAAAAGAATAATACTAATAACTTCTTTAATTAATTCTGTATGATAATTAAATGAGAAACAATGCAAATAAAAGCTATACATTGCGTTTGTGAGGACAGTAATAACATTGTCATGCACATTTTTAATAATATATAAAATGTGGTTCACCTGAAGACCCTTGATTAATATAACTGAAGATTAACTTTACCCTAACGCTAGTCTAATCTACTGAAACCTTACTTAACCTAACCTAACGCTAACCTAACCTAACCTAACCTAACCTAACGCTAACCTAACCTAACGCTAACCTAACCTAACCTAACCCACACACTGAACGTAGACAAACTATCTTAACACACCTAACTACGAACCATTAAGGACAATTGACAATACTGGAGAGGGGGGGGAGGGAGGGGAGGGAGGACTGGAGGCTAGAGGGAAGGGTGGAGAGGTGGAGGGAGAGGAGGGTAGGTAGGTGGAGAGGGGAAGAGGAAAGGAGAGGGGAGAGGATGAGGGGGAGAGGATGAAGGGGGAGAGGAGAGAGGGGTGAGGGGGGAGAGGGCAGAGGGGAGGCTTGTGCAGCAAGATACTGTCCCACTAATTACTACACCTGGCTCTGAATGGTATCAGGTGGACCAGCTTCCCGGACACCTACTATTACTCTCCTCATTAGTTTACACAAGGCAAATAAACCCTAATGGAGAGAGCTGCTACTAACGTGATGATGATAATGATGATGATGATGATGATGATGATGATGATGATGATGATGATGATGATGATGATGATGAGGGTGATGGTGAATAATAATAATAATAATAATAATAATAATAATAATAAAGGAAACCATGAAGAAAGAGGAAGAAGAAAACAGAGATAAAGCAGATAAAGAAAAAAGAATAAAGTAAAGAGCAATAACGACAATAACAACAATAACAAGAAGAGCAAGAAAATAAGAACAATAACATTAACAACCAGAATAAAATAATAATAAACAGAACAAGAAAACAAAACAACAACAAAATAAGAACACGGAAGACAAAAAAAAAAAAAAAACTTCCCGACATCACCGTCCTGGGGAAAAAAAAATCTGAACTCCTCATAATAAGCTGCTGTATCGTGTGTTCTCTTCGGGTAGCGTTGTGTGCCCTACAGCTGTGTAAACGAGGTGGTCTGTTGTTATATTTACACTAATGAATTAAAGGTACACAGCTTGAGGTAATATGAGAGAGCCCGTCCACTCTGCTGCGCGTGTATGTGTGTAACCTTATGTGCTCTTCTGTATACATATGTGTGTGTGTGTGTGTGTGTGTGTGTCTATATACGCATCCCAGTGTGTGTATATACATTCACACCCTCCCTACCCTCCCCCAGTAAGCACCGAGGACTCTAAGCTGGTCGAACACACTGCAAAATTAATTCCTACATCAATCTTGCAGCAGCACACTACACGGGGAGGCGAGATTCCATTACCCCGACCGAAGATGGGCATTGAGGAGTGAACATTACCCCGGACCGAAGATGGCATTGAGGGAGTGAACATTACCCCGACCGAAGATGGGCATTGAGGGAGTGACATTACCCGGACCGAAGATGGGCATTGAGGAGTGAACATTACCCCGGACCGAAGATGGGCGTTGAGGGAGGAACATTACCCGGACCGAAGATGGGCGTTGAGGGAGGAATTAGGATGATTCATTAAGGTATTTTTCACCTGGCGTGTCAAGGGTCGTGTTGGTCTGGGGAGATGAGGTGTGGGGTGGAGATAGGAGGGAGGGAGGGTGAGAGGGAGGGTGAGAGGGAGATGAGGTAGTGTGCTGGGTGGAGGAGGAGAGGGGAGTGAGTGTGCGTTGGGTGGATTGTGGGAAGAAGGGAAGGAGTGGGGATGGCGTAGACTGAGTGAAGAGAGAGAGAGAGAGAGAGAGAGAGGGAGAGAGAGAGAGAGAAAAGAGAGAGAGAGAGAGAGAGAGAGAGAGAGAGAGAGGAGAGAGACCCCATATGGCTGAAACGAATGGATGAGTCTTATTCCTTAGCCTGTCTCTTATAAATTAATTCCTGTCTAAAGTTACAGAAAAAAGGGGGTTAATTAATTAGTTTCTGCAGTAGAAGAGTTAAGGGCAGCTGTTGGGAGCCTATTCATTAACCTGTCTCGTATATTTCAGGATATTTTACTAAACGAGGAGTCAGGTCTTGAAGAGGCTATGGGGTGTCTTACGGTAATGGGTATAAAGGCGTCATGGAGTGATTAGGCACACCAGCTTATATCACCTTAAGATTAACCACCCTAACCTAATCTAACCTAACATAATGCTAACCTAATATAGTATAACATAACCTAACCTAACCTTAACCTAACATACTGCTAACCTAATATAGCATAACCTAACCTAACCTTAACCTAACATACTGCTAACCTAATATAGCATAACATAACCTAACCTAACCTTAACCTAACATAATGCTAACCTAATATAGTATAACATAACCTAACCTAACCTTAACCTAACATACTGCTAACCTAATATAGCATAACCTAATCAAACATAACCTAACCTAAACTTTCCTAACCTAAATTAACCTAACTAAACTAACCTAACCTAACCTAACATAACAACAGATTCTAACCTAACTTAAACCCTAATCTAACCTAACCCCACCTAGGTAGCGTTAGGGGTCTTTAATCAGCAGGTGAACTTAATCTGGGGGTGACTAATCCAGTAGTCGTACCTTAAGCGATCCACTGAGGTCTACCTTTTCATTCTTCTTCAATTTAGTGTGAAACTTAACCACCAAACTTGTGTGAGAATCTGAGCCGTGTCCCTTGGTGAGTCGCCCCCCTCCCTACCCACCCGTGTAATTAACTCGGAGGGTGTTACATCATCACGGCCTTTCAGTCATCTCTGTTATTCCTACGCCTGTGTTACTAGTACGCCTGGGTTACTCCTACGCCTGTGTTACTCCTACGCCTGTTACTCCTACGCCTGTTACCCTACGCCTGTTACCCTACGCCTGTGTCACCCCTACGCCTGTTACTCCACGCCTGTTACCCTACGCCTGTTACCCTACGCCTGTTACTCCTACGCCTGCTACTCCCACGCCTGTTACTCCTACGCCTGTGTCACCCCTACGCCTGTTACCCTACGCCTGTTACTCCCCACGCCTGTTACTCTACGCCTGTGTCACCCCTACGCCTGTTACCCCACGCCTGCATTCTACGCCTGTTACCCTACGCCTGCTACTCCACGCCTATTACTCCACGCCTGTGTCACCCCTACGCCTGTTACCCTACGCCTGTTACCCCACGCCTGTTACCCACGCCTGTGTTACTCCTACGCCTGTCACCCTACGCCTGTGTTACTCCTACGCCTGTCACTCCCTACGCCTGTGTCACCCCACGCCTGTTACACCTACGCCTGTGTCACTCCTACGCCTGTCACTCCTACGCCTGTGTTACCCCACGCTTGTCACTCCCTACGCCTGTGTCACTCCTACGCCTGTTACACCTACGCCTGTGTCACTCCCTACGCCTGTCACACCTACGCCTGTTACTCCCACGCCTGTGTCACTCCTACTCCTGTGTCACCCTACTCCTGTGTCACCCACGCCTGTTACACCTACGCCTGTGTCACCCTACGCCTGTCACTCCTACCCTGTGTCACTCCTACGCCTGTTACACCTACGCCTGTGCTCCCTACGCCTGTCACCTCCTACTCCTGTGTCACTCCCTACGCCCGTTACACCTACGCCTGTGTCACCCTCCTACGCCTGTCACTCCTACTCCTGTGTCACTCCCACGCCTGTCACTCCCACTCCTGTGTCACTCCTACGCCTGTTACACCTACGCCTGTGTCATCTCCTACGCCTGTCACTCCTACTCCTGTGTCACTCCTACGCCTGTCACTCCTACTCCTGTGTCAATCTCTCCAGTATTTTCTTTCTTTTATCTCGATTTTTTTACCTTTATAAAAAACTGTTCACTAATAACAAGTATGTATCTTTGTGTAACACGTATGTATATCTTTATGTAACATTCATCTGTATTGTCTAAATATCTACCAATTAATTAGATCTTCATAACAATTAACACCCACGTTAATGACCTTATAATTAGTCCAATGATTACTATTCACAGTTAATTACTAATCCAACTCAGGTATCCCAGCAGTCACCCACCACCTGAGGTCACCATTACACCACCTGAGGTCACCATTACACCACCTGAGGTCACCATTATACCACCTGGAGGCCCATTACACCACTTGAGGTCACCATTACACCACCTGAGGTCATCATTACACCACCTGGAGGTCACCATTACACCACCTGAGGTCAACATTACACCACCTGAGGTCACCATTATACCACCTGAGGTCACCATTACACCACCTGAGGTCACCATTATACCACCTGAGGTCACCATTACACCACCTGAGGTCACCATTACACCACCTGAGGTCAACATTACACCCTGAAGGAGTAAACAGCTCTCAGTAACACCCCAACCTAAGTGAGTCTCTTCTACAACGCCGTCAGTCGAGCCCAGGAAGTAAACAACATTTTCTAATGCTCAGTGTTGGTACATCAGCCTCTCGAAAAAGAGGCCTTGTAGGTCCTAGGCCACTTTACTATACAGGATGCCACTTTACTATTCAGGGATGCCACTTACTATACAGGGATGCCACTTACTATACGGAATGCCACTTACTATACAGGGATGCCACTTACTATACAGGATGCCACTTTACTATACAGGAATGCTACTATACAGGGATGCCACTTTACTATACAGGGATACTTACTATACAGGGATGCCACTTACTATACAGGATGCCACTTACTATACAGGATGCCACTTTACTATACAGGATGCCACTTACTATACAGGATGCCACTACTATACAGGATGCCACTTTACTATACAGGATGCCACTTTACTATACAGGATGCCACTTTACTATACAGGGATGCCACTTTACTATACAGGATGCCACTTACTATACAGGATGCCACTTACTATACAAGGCTGCCACTTTACTATACAGGATGCCACTTTACTATACAGGGATACTTACTATACAGGATGCCACTTTACTATACAGGGATGCCACTTTACTATACAGGATGCCACTTTACTATACAAGGATGCCACTTTACTATACAGGATGCCACTTACTATACAGGATGCCACTTTACTACACAGGATGCCACTTTACTTACAGGGATGCCACTTTACTATACAAGGATGCCACTTTACTATACGGGGATGCCACTTTACTATACAAGGATGCCACTTTACTATACAGGGATGCCACTTTACTATACAGGGATGCCACTTTACTATACAGGGATGCCACTTACTATACAGGATGCCACTTACTATACAAGATGCCACTTTACTACACAGGGATGCCACTTTTAATATTTTATTTGATTAGGGGGAGGGAAGGGGGAGGAGAGGGATGAGGAGAGGGGAGGAGAGGGGGGAAGAGGGAAGGTAGGAGGGAAGTGTGTGTAGTGAAGCGTACAGATGAAGTGTCGAAACGCATTAGTCTTTCTGCCTTATACTACAACATTTATATATATATACTGAGAAGAACTCCCCCACCCGCTTCACTGGGTGGTCAACTAGGGGAGGAGGAGAGAGAGAAGAAGAGGGGGTAGGAGGAGGAGGGGGGGGGAGGAGAGGGGGGATGGGGAAGAGAGAGGAAGTGGGTGGGAGAACACATTCAGCATCTAATCAGTTTTTCCAAGGTGTTATATGACCAGAAAATAACTCAAGTCACCCATAAAATCATGAAATAATTAAGCATTCATCAACAATTCATATATTTTTTACTCCCATTAGTCACCACACACACACACAACACACACACACACACACACACACACACACACACACACACACACACACACACACACACACACACACACACACACACACACACACTGGTCTTGGTGTTTAAAGCGAGAGATTAAGGTCCCAATTAATATATTTATCTTGTGTCTGGTGGTCTCTGTTGTCCCACAAATATGTCTGTTTATAGGAGAGAGAGAGAGAGGGGGTGGGAAACTGAAGTGTTGGATAGATTAAGGATACAGTATAATAAATTTGTTATGCCTGTAAAAGACGCCACAAAACAAAACAAACAAATCCACACACACACACATACATACACACACACACACATCACAACACACACACACACACACACACAAGACCAACGTTGTAAATAATGGTAACTGTCGGAGATGTACACAGGCAGAGTAGATAAAGAGTGACAGTACAATGAGTAACGTTGTTAACATCAGGCGAACATTACCCCTGTGTAGCGCCTCCGTCAATCCTCACCCCGCCAGCCGACCACGATACCACAAGGACGACCCATGATACCACACCAGACGACCCAAGATCCACACCAGACGACCCACGATACCACACCAGACCCCATATACCGCCCAGAGCTCAACACCCCCAGACGCCCCGAAACACCCCAGACGCCTCATAACACCCCAGACGACCCACAACACCCCTCAGGAGAACCCAAACACCCCAGACGCCTAGTCACCCCCAGACGCCCCACAACATCCCCAGAGGACCCACAACATCCCCAGCAGAGGACCCATAAACACCCCCAGACGCCTGGTACCCCCAGACGCCCCACACATCCCAGAGGACCCTCAGACGCCCTACATACCCCGAGACGCTCCAACACCCCCAGAGGACCCACAACACTCCCAGAGGCCCTACAACACCCCCAGAGGCCCCACAACACCCCAAACGACCCAACAACACCCTCTTAGACGCCCCACAACATCCCTCAGAGACCCACACACCCAGAACCCACAACACCCCAGATGATCCACAACACCCCAGAGAACCCACACCACACACAGAGGCCTCTAACACCTCCTAGAGGCCCCACAACACCTCCCCCAGAGGCCCACAACACCCCCAAACGACCCACAACACCCCCAGACGCCCCAACATCCCCAGAGGACCCACAACACCAGAGAACCACAACACCCCCGATGATCCACACACCCCCAGAGACAACACCCCCAGTTAATCCCACAAAGAAACCCCTTCGACATCCCCAAACACCTCCCCGACACCGCCTCAGGTTACACCCCTCACCAACACTTATTTGGGATGTGTGTTGCAGATTTTTAAAGGGGCCACAGGAACTAAAGTTACATCGCCCTCTGTGATGACACCCAAACAGCAATATATTCCACTCATAGCCGAAGCTTTTTCATTATAAAAAAAAGGGCATATAAAAGCCATTCCAAAAAACTACAACACAAAGTAAACACGAAAAACCACAAACTTTCATAACATAAGAAACAGAAAAACGAAAAAAGCCCAAAACACAAACTCCTTAAAAAAAAAATATATATATATATATACTGTATATATATATATATATATATATATATATATATATATATATATACAGTATATTATATACATATATATATATATATATATATATATATATAATCAACAACCTACCTCACCAGGACTGACCCAAGATCTTATGTGTGTGTGACCAGGAACGTTACCTCAGACCACTAGGACACTAAAAGCAGTTCAATTTGTTATATTTCCAAAGCCTGTTCATCGTGAACCTCCAATAGTGCCTGCATATGATCGAGAACGTATCGCTGCAAAACGAGGTTCCATATATATCAGCCAGATTGGAAAACGTGGTAGTGGTTGGTGGTGGTAGTGGTGGAGAACGACGGTAGTGGTGGGTGGTGGAACAGTTGCGTAAATGTGTTCCTACGCCCCCCTGTGGTAACCCGTGTCTCCATACGGCACCGTCGCAGCAGCAGTAGTAGTAGTAGTAGTAGTATCACTATTTATGAATGAACGGGTATTGGTCGTGTAAGGACGGACGTGATTGGTGGATAGGTTTGCTATAGGTCATATAGGCTGGACGTTTAGAGACACTGGTTACCACAGGAACATTTACTCAACTGTACCAGCACTCCACATTACCTGTATCCGACTGTCCAATACAACAACAACAACTACAACAACAATAATAATAATAATAAAACAACACTAATAACAATAATAATAACATTCATTCAATAATATCACCATATATGTCAATTATTTCTTTGATATGCAACACAGGTATACAATGTACACAAACCCTTAGACAGCACAGGTAAACACAACAAAAATAAACACCAACACAACCTTGACCAGCGATACCCACAGAGCTAATCAGATGTAACCTAACCCCAACCATACACAGAGCCAATCAGATGTTTAACCTAACCTAACCATACCCAACAGAGCCAATCAGATGTTTAACCCCAAACCATAACTTGAACAGAGCATCAGATGTTTAACCT